GTAAAATATTACAATGAAATGTGCAAAGACCTGGAGTTAGAAAAACAGAAAGAAGGACATACTCGGTATTTCTCAAACTGAAAGAGCTGAAGTAATAATTCCAGCCTTTAGCTGCAATAGTGAAGGATTCTATGGGCCACTCCTCAGAAGGGAGATTGGGCTATCTACTTCCGTAGAGATACTACCTTGGAAACCCAAGGAGGGGTTGCTATGAGTCTCAGTAGACTTGAAGGCAGTGAGTTTTGTTTGTTTGTTTGTATGGGCAAAATATTGAATGATGCAGGAAATATCAAAAGAAGATGGAGGGAATACACAAGAGTCACTGTGCCAAAAAGAATTGGTCAACGTTCAGCCATTTCAGGAGGTAGCATATGACCAAGAACCAATGGTATTGAAGGAAAAAGTTCCTCAATGGGATGGATTAGCACATGACTGCAGCAGTGGTCTGAAATATAGCAACGATTGTGAGAATGGCACAGGACAGGGCAGTGTTGCGTTCGTTTGTACATGGGGTCACTATGAATTGGACTCAACAGTACCTTACAACAACAATAGAATGTCAGTGCCATGAGGGTAAGAAATTTTGATATTTATTGTACGCGTCTAGAAGGATACCCAGCATGCAGTAGATAATTTAAATATTTAGTGAGCGGCCTCTATGTGCCTCGAGCAGTCCAAGGTTGAGAATGGAAGGGCGGTAGAGACAAGGACTTCTTGAGTAAGAGGCCTCAGGAAGGGCTGCCAGCTCAGTTCTCAGCCTGAGCCCCTGGGGAATGTATTCATACACAGAGCAAGCAGCCCCACAAATTAACAAAATGGGAAACCATTGGGCCGTGAACAAGGAGGATTTAGTGCATAGTAGTTACATAAACAGCTGTATAAATCCATATATTAATAGCACAAAATAGGCTCTTTTAGGAACTTTATGTTATGCCTCTGTGTTGAATTAAGACTCATGTTACAGTACTTTCCAGTTACCCAGAAATGGTAACTTTCCATCCATAGCTCTTGGGCATTTAGCTCAGCTATTTTGTAATGGTTGTCTCTAAGGTGACCTTGGGCTTTTTTTGTTTGTTTCTTTCTTTCCTTTTCCTTATGTCTCCACACTTCCTGGTGCCTTCTTATTTTTATTTTGTGGAAATTAGTTTTGCCAGTGAAGTCACAACCCTACATAGTTGACTATAATCTTAAAAACTTTAAAACCTTTTCCCAAAATTTTTTAAAAAATATTTCAAAAATACAGAAAAATTAAAAGAACGGTAGGATGAATATCTAAATACCTTCCCCTATAGCAACAGGCCAAATCCAGCTCAGTGTCTGCTTTTGCAAGTGAAGTTTACTGGAACTCAGACACATGTGTTTATTTACCTGGCTACAAAGGCAGAAGTGAGCCTTTCAACAGAAACCCCCATATGGCCCACAAAGCCTAAAACAGTTACTGTCTAGACCTCTATAAGGAGCTCTGGTGGCACAATGCCTAAGGCATTTGACAGCTAACCAGAAGTTTGGAGGTTCAAACCCATGAGCCACTCTGCAGCAGGAAGATGGGGCAGTCTACTTCTGTAAAAGTTTTATTGCTGTGGAAACCCAATGGGGGTTGCTATGAGTCAGAACCAAGTCAATGGCAGTGGGTTTGCTTTGGTTGTTTTGGAGACCTTTATAGAAAGACTTTGCCCGCCTCTGATCTACACTCATTAATTGTTAATATTTTGCTATACTGGCTTTATCTCTCTTGCTCCAAAGACAGGGAGATGTATGCACCCTTCTGGGTGCACGTTCATGCACACTCACTCACGCACACTTTCTAACCATCTGAAAGTAAGTTACAGACATTATGATAACTCCCCCCTAAATGATTCATATTAATAATAATTCATTATTAGAAATAAAGGCATTCTCTTATTTAGTTTCAATATTATCATCATACCTATCAAAATTAACTAGCAGTCAATAATATCATCCAATATACAGTCTATATGTAAATTTTACTTTTATTGCTTTATTTTTCTTTCTGGAGACAGAATCCAATCAAAGTTCATACATTGCATGTGGTAGTCACGTCTCTTTTTGGAAAATTCTTTAAAAACATTTTTTAAAAAAAGCATTACTGAGTCTTAATGGGTTTATGTTACCAGAAAGGGCTAAATATAATCATCATTGTAGTAAATCAGCTTCTCCTATTTTGTCCCGTTTGAGACTGAGACACTGTTGTACTGCTTGGCTTCCGAAGTTAAAACACTAAGATGTGTGTTTTGCTTGGATTTATAAATGTGGAAAAACCTCAGAGTGAAGAGCATGGCTGATGAGAATTTGCAGGATGCAGTTTATGTAATTAAAGGCATAGCCCTTCCCACTTGCTCTGGTCACTGCCCTCATTAGCTCTTGGCTGGGTGGCTCTTCCTTCTGGCTTTCCTCCTGGCTGGGGCCTGGCTCTTCTCCAGCTTCATTAAGTTTCAGCAAGAAGCTGGAAGGAGACCTGCAGTCATTTAAATCTTCCAGCCCGAATTGTTCAGGCTGGCTGGCAGCACAATGCTTTTGTGTTTGTAGTCTGTGTGCTGAATATAGCATGGCATTCACAAATATGCGTGCGCATCAGGAATGCATACAGGATGAGCTCCTCCTTGCCTTCCTTGTGAAGCTGGGGCCTCACAGTCATGCACCTCTTATGGGATTCCACAGTGGTCACACACAGGTCTGCTCCTTCATTGTGGTCCTGATTCCCAGAGAGCACCAAGACCCATCCTTTTCTTTCCTCTGGGCAAGAAGCCCTTGGAGCTTACAGGCCAATCAGAACGATACTCATGTGCCTAGATAAGACACACCTGTACTACTTGCTGTCTGGTTTGGGTTTGTCTTTTTAAGCTGTGGAAGGCTTTATTTACTGTCCTCAAAATGTGAAATTATAAGTGAGGGGTGAACTCTTTCTTGAAGATGGTATCTTCTAGACTATAGCCAGTGGTACCTTTGAGAGTCTGAGAGTCCAGTAGTCAAAGAGGGGTGTGTGTGTGTGTGTGTGTGTGTGTGTGGTGAGAGAAGGTGGACAGAAGGAAGGAGGAGAAAATCATAGACAAAGAGAAAGGATAAAATAAATACATTGAATTTTCAGGAAGGCAGAATAAAAAGGCATCTGAAATCATGGAGAGTTGGGGAAAAGATATTGCTGCTTTTCAGATGTTGATTGTTTTACATCTGGAAAAACTGCATCTCCTTCTCCTGTGTTGATTTAATTGGGAGGCAGACTTAGTATCTGTGTGACTGAGTACAATGTATAGCCTCTCTGTGCCTCAACTATTCATCTGTAAAATAGGGACAGTATGTGTACCTGCTTTGTATGGTTGTTTTGAGAAGAAAAGAGAAAATCCACATTCGTGCTTCAAATAGACCAGCACATGGCACACAGTCAATGTTGTTGTTGTTGTTGTTGTTATGTGCCGTCAAGTTGGACGTGACTCATAGCGACCCCTCCTTGGGTTGCCAAGGCAGTATGACTACGGAAGTAGATTGCCCAACCTTCCTTCCGAGGAGTGGCTGGTGAGTTTGAACCTCCAGCCTTCTGGTTAGCAGTCAAATGCCTTAGGCACTACAACACCAGAGCTCCCCAATAGATGTTAGCTACAGATATTTAGTTTATATTTTAGAACACCTCACATAATTTACCAAAATTGTCTTTAGATATCAAAATCTTTCACTGATCTTTACTTTCTTAAGAATAGTAAAATAAAAGGAAATGCCTTTAAAAAAAAAGAAAAGGAAAAACAACTTCTGTAGTTCTTATATTGGCAAGGTATTTTCCCAGTTTTCATGTAAACCTTACTGTAGGAATTTTTATATCAATATGTGCTTATTAAAGGAGCTCTGGTAGCATAGTGCCTAAGGCACTTGACTGCTAACCAGAAGGCTGGCAGTTCGAACCCACCAGCCACTCCTCAGAAGGAAGATTGGGCAATCTACTTCCGTAGTGATACTGCCTCAGAAACCCAAGGAGGGGTCGCTATGAGTCAGGTTTGACTCAATGGCACATAACAACAACAGCATGTCCTTATCAATATACTAATAGTAGTGAATTGGATTTTTTGTTCGATGCCCTTGAGTTGGCTCCAACTCAATGTAATCTTATGGATAACTGAATAGAACATTGCCTGGACCTGCACAGATTTCCTGGCTCTGTAATTCCAAAAGGATGACTCCACTATTTGCAATCCCTCCTAATGCTATTTGTTCATTCTTAGTAACTCACAACAGATGAAGACCAGAACCTTCCTTAACTGTCAACTGGCCTGCCAATTGAAAGTAAATTTTTACCTGTTAGGAAAATTTTCGCTTTCAGGAGGGTCTTTTACATTACATTCCAAACCATCCCATGCTCCCCTTGTTCCCTTCCTAATTTAGATTTTTTTTTTCATTTAGTTCAACTTACAGTTCACAAAGAAGTATTATTAATCAAAACCCACTGATGAAGCATGTATTTTAGAAGGTCAGTTAAAGAGAACAACTTGGCAAAGATGAGACTTGGGTAATAAAACTTATTTGTCAGTATCAATTTTGAACCCAATGCTAGTCAATAAGACATGGACAAAGAGCTTTGAAGCAATAGGGTAATATTTGGCTTTTATCGGTTAAAATAAAGGATGCTAAGTTACACTTTCCAATGCCATTTGATTTGCAGTTTTATACAAATCAAGGTAAAGGAAGAAAATTAATTTGGCATGGCTGTGGATTTAGAAATATGAAGTATCTGTTTACTCTGGCATTTCCTACCAATCATGATTTAGACCTACATGTAGCTGCCTTAATGACAAGCATTCCTCCAGCAATTTGGACTGTTAAAGTGGAAATCTCCGAGATTCCAACTCATGGTGACCCCATGTGTTACAGAGCAGAACTGCTCCATAGGGCTTTCTTGGTTGTAATCTTTATGGAAACAGATATTAAAGGTGAGGTGCTGGTTTATGGAGACAATCTAAGATAATATAGACTTCGTTTTATGTTCTTCATTCCAGGACAATATTATCTTATTCTTGAGAGGTTGTAAAGAGCTGGGCCTTAAAGAATCTCAACTTTTTGACCCAAGTGACCTCCAGGATACATCAAACAGAGTAGCGGTCAAGTAAGTAATGCATGATTTATGTTTAAGGGAAACCTCTGTATCATTTGATTTGTGGTTTTGTGATGACGGTGTAAGGTCCAAGAAGCAGAGGATTGAGCATACCTAGTAAAATAAAAATATGAAAGTAAAAAATCAAGCTTTCAAAACAAACACATTGGCCTTCCTTCCGTGCAGTGCTTTCATTCTAATCAGACATAAGTTTTGAAATGCAAAAACTCTGTGTACAGAGTTAGGATTTTAAAGAGAAGGAGAAAAATGCTAAGTAAGGCTTGACAGACTAGAGAGAAATATGCACAGAATCTGTGTGTGGTAGACAAAAACCTTTTACTGGTTCCAGGTGGGCTTTCAGATAGGTTCTTGGAAGAGTGCAAACTAGGTAAACAAATCTGAACTCTGTTTACTATGCAAGACAGGCAATAGATGGTGGAGAACTCCCTTCTTCATTTACATTTGTAACTGTTTTCTCATATGTGTCATTGATCAAGTTCTTTGAAGATGGGTCATTGGCCACTTGGCTATTGTTGACTGTATCTACTCAATGAGCCACATTTTGAGCCTAAGAATTTTTAGGGCAGAATGTCATAGTAAAAGAAAAGGCAATGCACTTCTCTATAAAGAAATAGCTCGTGACCAGGGTAATGAGAAGAAATTTCTCCTATGAAATGGTACAGCTCACTTTATTGTAGTTTAAAAGTTCTTTGGACCATGCTGATTTCACATAAAATGTTTTCCACTTTACTCCAACAATATTTGACATGAATATGCCTTTAGAGCAAGTGTAATTACATAGCTAGATCTTTGGATTGGCTGCCCTTCTTCTGATTGTTGTATCATGGAAAAGCAGAAAAGAGAGAAGCCAAAATTCAGAGCTGTTAGTTTTATACTATCTAATCTTGATTTTAAAAAGAGAGAGACAGAGAAAAATGGAAAGTGAATATAATAAACTTTGGAGTTTATATTGGATTTTATGATTCATGACTGGGAATAAGTCAGAGCCAGCCGTCATTGATTATCTAAGATTACTTTTCTGTTGTCAATGTCTTTAGTATTTCTCATGGAAAAAAAAAAAAAAAAGCTCAGGGCAGAAATAACAGGATAAAAATGAGGGAATTTGGATATTTGAATATGGAAACAACCATAAACTGGGTGGTTTCATCATAGTTGTCACATATCTACTTATAATTGTACCTAAATCCAGCCTCTGTCATTGTTGATTTTGGGATATTGTTTTAAGTTCTGCTTCATCTCACATTCATCATTTCACCTGGGTGGCAAGTGATCAGAAACAATAGTAGCTTTGGGACATTGTAGATAATTGTCGCACACATTGCCTGGAGGGTGAAGGGGGTTGTACTGACAGGATCAGCAGCTGCATTCGCATTATTTTTAGAGCCACTTCAAATTGATATGTGATGGTTGTTAGGTGATGTCGAGTTGGCTCCAACTCATAGTGACTCTGGGTACAAAAGGACAATATATGACTAGATTAGGAGAATTCTGAGATGAATTCATTTTAGAAATTTAGAAGCCAGGTCACCTTTGTTGTTTATATGCAACAAACTGGGCTTATGGGTCCCTGTCTATTCATCCACAAAATGGAATTGGACAGTGTGTTCTCTCAAAGATGGTTCTTGCTAAAGCTTGCTCAGAGCAGATCTGGGAAGGTGGAGCAACCGAGTCTCTAAAGAAAGAGACTGTTTATTATGCAAATATGGCAGTCTTTTCTTCATTTACATTTGTAACTCTTTTCTCAGATGTGTTTGTGATCAAGTTCTGTGAATTAAATCCTTGGCCCCTTTGCTGTCTTTGACTACATCTAGTCAGTGAGCCACACCTGAAGCCCAAGAATTCTTGGGGCAGAATGCAAAGACATGGAAAGTAATCTTGGAAATAGTCACTTAGACTAATGACACACAAACATGGTCACTTCTCAATTAGGGCACTATCTTCCTTTGTTCCTGTCCTTTCTTTTTATTTTTCTCTCTTCTTTTCTGTCTCCTTTTCTTCCCTTCTCTCTTTATCCTGTTTTCCCATCTATCTTCATTTTGCTTTTCTTCTCCTTGTATTCTTTCCTTTCTAATTTTTCCTTCACTTGAGCATTATTGTTTTCTTTAGGCAATACTTTTCCAACACCTTCCCCTATGATCCTGATGTTTTGCATTCATTCATTCAATAAACATTTACTGAGCAGCTACTATGCATCAGATACTTCCAGTCCTTCAATAAGTGGGAGGAACAAAATGACCAAGGTCTCCTGCTCGTACGGAACTCACATTCCAGGGTGAAGAAATAAGATGTAAATAACTTAGTAAATAAGGAACATAATTTCAGGGAATGATAAATTCTGAGAAGACAATAAGTAGAATGGTATGAAAGATAGTGGTCAGGCCAAAGGTGGTCAGGCAAAACCTCTCTGAAGAGGTGATCTTTGAGCTGAGGGCTAAGGCATGAATGGAGAGCAGAAACCAACCATGTGAAGATCTGTCAGGTGTCAGAGCAGAGGATGAGCAGATAGAAAAACGGGGCGAGGAAGAAGCTTGATGTTTAAAAGAAAAAGGAAAGAAGCCAGTGTGGATGAAGAGTAATGAGCAGGAAGAGTGTGGGTAGGAGGCACAGTCCACAAGCATTACAGATTGTTCTTTTTTATTAAAACTGTGCCTTTAACTCATTTATAGAATTTAGAAAGTTGTTTCTAGATTAGTGGGTCATGAAATAAACTATCTGCTTCACAACTTTTTCATAAGTGGTCCTAGGGACTGACTGTACTAGGTACATTTGTGGCATGCATAAATTTTAGAGTGCATGCATGCACACATAACACTGTCAAGTTGGATCCAACTCATAGCAACCCCTCCTTGGGTTTCCAAGGAGGTATTTCTACCGAAGTAGATTGCCCAGTGTTTCTTCTGAGGAGTGGCTGATAGGTTTGAACTGTCAGCCTTCTACTTAGCAGTCAAGTGCCTTAGGCACTACACCACCAGAGCTCCTAAATTTTATAGTACAACTACTATATTTAAAGTTGTTGTTGTTGTTGTTGTTATGTGCCGTCGAGTCAGCCCTGACTCATAGCGACCCCTCCTTGGGTTTCCGAGGCAGTATCACTACGGAAGT